AAATCCATTGTGGTGGTGTATAGAGCCAAAGATGTTAGAATTGTGTCGATGTCCCAATATTTATGGACCTGACTGTATGTGATCAGTATTGCTCACAGAAAAAGCACATAAATTTTTCCACGCTGAATATGTCATGGTGATATACAAAATGTTGATATGGAGGCTGTACAACTCTAAGTCACTGCCAATAGCTACAAAAAGAATTCAGGACAGTAAACGATACAGTAGATAGGGGATTAATATAGGTTGATACCCTTTCATTCCAATAATTCTGAATCATGGTTGAAAACACTGCAAGACACTTCTAATGTAGCCTTTGCAGGGACAGACACTAATCAAATTAAGATGTGCAAATTCAAATTTAAAAAAAAAGGCTTAAAATGCTCCATTTCAGGTTCCGAATACTTTTATAAGATCAGAACAGCATCATAACACTTCCTTGAAGTTCGAAGAGCCCACTTAAGGTGAAAACAAGGCACTTCAAGCCCCAAAAATGTGAAAAATTATATACTCTACTAATTTCATTTAAAAATGCTTAGCAGTTTGATTTTCGCAAGAATAAGAGAGACTGTATTCTGCTATGAACATTAATTATAACTAGAAATGTATGACTAGAATACCTGCCCTTGACATTCTGTAATGTATACATTTTCTGCATCAATAGACAGAATCTTTATTGACTCAATACTATTTCTAAAATTATTAGGGTGATACAAGTTTAACTGTTTGCATTAGGCACTTAAGCTGAACTGCTATCAGTGGAAATTTAAAACTAAAAAAAAAATTTGCTGATTTATTTAAACCTATATAGCTTTTTTTCAGGCATTGGAGTGCGAGCATATGTTTCAGAGGGAAAAAACAGCTCTATAATCCATATAGAATACTACTCTTTCCCACTGGTTAGCAAAAAAGAGACACATATTCCATAAACTAAGAAAGAATTCTGAATGAAACATTTCAAAAAAATAAAGATTTCCTCCCTCTTTTCATGAGTACAATTGTTATCACTCTATTGTATTCTCCATGAAAATTGAAATCCCAGAATTTATCCGTTAAATCAATTATCTATAAATTAAATTAGCTTCATATTCATCATCTAGAAAACTATTATTTTCTAGTCATTTGTTTATTTTTACCTCTACTGTACAGTTGCCATCCAGTGCAATGTCTCCTCTTTTGTCTTTTAAATCTTCACTAACATAGTATGATATAACATTTGGTTTTAAAACAAACCAACGTTCTGTCCAGTTTTTCCTTTTGTGACCCTTCTTCCACATATAACCCTATAAAAATAATGAAGCAATTGTTGTTGTTCAGTTGTAAGGTTGTGTCCGACTCTGTAACGAGCTGCCACCTGTTGATCCCAAATCCAGTAACTTTCCTTGCAACCAATATTG